CAGCTCATCGGCGCAAGGGATTACAGCACAGATTGGATTCTCAACCCCTTGGACACAAAACAACAGTTAATAAGAACCCCTATCTAATGATGTGCGGAGTCTTAATTACTAATTCTGCTATGTAACTGGATGTAATCACTGTTTTGGATTGTCGTTATAACACTGTCCCTTGCAAATCATTAATTAAATGTAAAGCATGAGAAATTAACAAAGTTCTGAATCATTGTTGCCACCGTCTCATGTTCATGAATTCTGGATGCCTGGTTCAACTCGTAACAATATAAAGGAGGCATTAAAAGGTTTATCAGCTGTGAATATTAAAACAATACCCTTGAATCCTGTTCCTGGATTCTAAAGAGCCAGATCAGTGAGAATTGCAATCTACAATGATGATGAGCGACCGTTAATGTGAGATTCCCTGTGGACAATGAATCAATTTTGGCTACTAGGTTGGATGAACTACAGGGTGAGATAAGGGTGTGGCTCACAAATGGATGTCGTTAACAGTCTGGGTGAATCATCTTTGCACACAGCCTAAGTTGAACTAGTCTGAAATTGCTCTGAGTAAAACTCAAGTTACAGGTACAGTTCATTATACCCTTAGAGGAGAGGCTGCAGTGGAGTTTTGGCTATAACCAAAGTGGTAGCTCCACTGGATAGGAAGGCATTTTACCTACCATTACTCTATTCTCCCTGATTGTAACTATTTCTCTCTTAACATGTTTTTTTTGTCTTTCCTCTTATAGCAAGTACATCTGGAGCTGTCATTTTATTTGTTTATCTCTCCTTCCTGTCCTCTCAAACCCAGCTGCTTGAAGCAGATGGCCGCTCGTCCTGAGCCTGGTTCTGCTGGAGGTTTATTCCTGTTAAAAAAAAGTTTTCCTTTCTACTGTCTCCATTGTGCTTGCACAGGATGGACGACTGTGACGAAGTGAAGATTCAACGAGTCTGCTGGCTTCCTTAGATAGAGAACTTTACTAATTGTCTTTTGTATGTGAATGTTTCTGTAAAGTGCCCTGAGACAACTCTGTTGTGAATTGGCACTATATAAATAAACTGAATTGAATTGAATTGAACCCTTTCTTTTTTTAGATGAAGGGCTGAACATTGGCTCTGTGTGATATTCAAAGTTTGGGAGAATGTTTTATTAGTTAAACTTGCTTTAAACTTTAACCATTACCTGTCTGGTATGTTCCTTGGTGTTAATAATGCTGTTTTGTCACTAATGATCAGCAACAAACCTCAGAGTCCTTAACGGAACAGGTGGATGAGGTTAAACACAGCTGGACTCTGTTCATTAATTAGTTGACTTCTGAAGGCAACTTGTTGCATGAATTTTAGTTATCAAAGTAAAATGCCCCTCCCACATTTTAATTTGTGAAATCTTTGAAAACCACTTATCGTTTTCATTCAGTTTCACTATTATACTCTCCTTTGTGTTGGTTTGTCTCATACAGTAAAATGCTGTGAAGTTTGGGTTGTAACATGACAAAATGTGAAAAAGTTCAAGAACTATGAAGACAAGAAACTTTCAAGAAACTGCAATTCAAATGATAAATGGGTCGAAAGCAAAAACGACTTATCTGTGACATTAGACACTGACCACACTGAACAGTAGAACATGTGGTTTTATAGAGATTAAAGTTGGGACATTTGTAATTAAGAGAAAAAGAAATACACACAAACAGTTTATCTTTTATTAACGCTTTGAGATAAGAAATCTACATTTCTGCACATGAGATAGATTGTTAAGAAATTAAAAGAATGAAGTCAAACTAAAATTAAAACATTTATGAAACACATTTGACTGATTTAGTTTAATTAAATTATTGTTGAATTATTGTTGAATTAATATTTTTAATTGAGTAGGGGTAAATATTGAGATTTTATCATAATTACAAAATAAAATAGCAGATAAAGCATTAATGCTTAATGACAAGACAAAAACTTGGCAACTGCAGTGTCAAGCAATCTTTCATTTGTTTAATAGAAATCTATAAACTGCTGTTTATCCACCTTATTCCTGGAGCTCTACTGTAGAAATGATTATAGTTCAACTTCCTGTCAGACAGGAAGTAGCAGTCAGCATTGGTTAACTATGGTAGTGGAGCACAGACCGCAGTTTATTTGAAAGTAATTTACATTCAGTTTAGCAAATAAAACTCTGTTTTTGTTTTGATTACATTTATTTAACCATAAAGTTTACTAAAATAACCGTGCTGAGTTCAGGTACCTGTTGTGTTCATGGCTGCAGAACAACCAGACCAAACTAAATCAGTCGCTACAACAACAGAGTTTGAACACGGACACAAAACAAAGTGTGTTCCTGTGAAAAGAGCTATAGTTTCCATCTCCTCCCTACAGATGAGGAATTATGAAGAATGTGTCTGAAAAATGTGAACTTGAAGAGAACACCCAAAACGCTGTATGTGTGCTCATTTCACTTCTAACTTTGGGCGGCTGTGGCTGAGTGGTTAGAGCAGTCGTCCTCCAATGCAAGAGTTGGGGGTTCCAGTCCACCAGCAGTCACATGCCAAGTGTCCTTGGGCAAGACACTAAACCTCTCATTGCCTCTGATATGTGTCCCATCAGTGTATGAATGTGATCTAAAGCTCTGATTAGTCTCTTTAGAATGATTTGTTCAATTAGCTTTGTAGAGATCTAGTATAGAGCTGTATGAATGGGTCAATGAGGCACAGATTGTAGTGTAAAGCGCTTTGAGTATCTTGATGAGATAGAAAGACGCTATGTAAGTACCGTCCATTTACCATTTACATTTGTTGACAAACGGCCAACAGAGGAAAACCTGCATCCTACTTTGTGGCTGGACTACAATAAACCACCAGAGAAGAGATGCTGGATCCTCAGAAGGATTGAAAACAGTGTGACAAGAACATCAGGTATGATTTCAAGTGTATGGAGGTCACAACATTATAGTATTTGTTTGTCTTCAGTTTAATGATTTTCTTTGTAATTAACCAAGCTCAGTGATGGAGGACTTTAAGGCTTTGTCTGGCTCTGTGTCTGATTTAAGGTAAATAAGGTTGTGTCCCACCTCTTTTAACAAAACACCACCGACCTTATTACTGTGTAGATACTAATACACCTCAGAACTTTTCAGATTGTTCATGGCTTCACCGTTGGAAAAACTGAGTCAATGAAGTAGCTAAATATGCTAACTAAATATGCCAGTAGATATAGCTAAATATGCTAGTATAAGTAGCTAAATATGCTAGTATAAGTAGCTAAATATGCTAGTATAAGTAGCTAAATATGCTAGTATAAGTAGCTAAATATGCTAGTAGATGTATCCAACGCCCTATTTACACGGACACGATGGGGGGAAACGTAGGTTTTTTCGTATGTTAATTAGAGGAAAAGATTTGTGTTGACACAGTCGGATTTAGAGTTTACATGCATCCGGAGGATTCCTCCCCGCCCTCCCGAATCCGCTGTAGTTACCATGCCGGGTCATTAGATGGCGCTGTGAATTTTGTACCTTCACCTAATGTGCATGCGTGCTGCCTCAGCACGCTGTTTTCCTCTGGGCTAACCAACTAACAACAACGTAACGTAACAACAATTTAAAGCTGGATTTTGGATAAGAGTCGACAGATGTGACGCCAAGAGGGACCGCTTCATCTAACAGCTCCACACCGGTTGCTGAGTGGACCAGAACCAAGTCGAAGATGTCGGACTTTACTCCATGATAATCAGTAGCTGTTTCACTGCAGGTAAATCAACGTTCTTAATAATGTTTGCTTGAGTTTACTTCGGTTACAAAACAACCAACTGAGTTTTTATTTTTTCCTGAAAGGATAAGAAGGAGCTGTCCTTCCACCGGTCGGACCATTTCTGAACAAGGCTCGGCCCAAATGAACTGCAGGAGGACTTTGAAGAGAGATGTTGGATGAACTATTTATTTAAAATCCCCCTCATTTCTTTTATTCAATCCATTCAAGTTCAGTTAACGTGTTTTTAATAGTGTGTTCAGTTTAATTATCAGTGTTTGTGTGACATACAGTTTGTGGTGTTGAATAAATAAATAAAAATTAAACCTGATGTCTTCATTTTCAACTTTAGTGTTCACGCTATATGTTTAGCATCATTTTAAATTATTAAACAGTTATTATTTAGCACATTTATGTTATAGTGCAGCGCGACGTGTGCGCGTGCCTCGTTCTATAAACAGCGACATTAGAACTGGATCAGACTGTGTCTCTTCCAACACAGATGTCGGTCACAGCACCTGGAATCTGACATAGATTAACTACGAGATTAAAATATATTCCATCAGTCGAGGTTCTGAAAGCAGCGTATCCACCGCCATGTTGATAGAAATATAGCGTCTGTCCGCGCGTGCGTGTGCGCATGTGGTTTAACACAAAGCCTCAGCGGGAGATGTTTACATTATCAGCGGGGGGTCAGCGAAAAACCTCCACTCTGGAAGGTGGATTCAGAAACCTCAGGATTCAAAGAGGGGGGCCACTGGTGTCGTGTAAATGATCAGCAGAACCGCAGAGAGAAAGATGCGGATTCACTCAAAATATGCGCCGTGTAAACGGCCCCTAAATATGCTAGTATAAGTAGACACATATGCTAACATAAGTAGCTAAATCTGTTAGTAGATGTAGCTAAATAGATTTAGCTAAATCCACTGGTAGATATAGCTAAATATGCTAGTAGATGTAATCTGCAGCCATTTCTTCAAGTCAACCTCCACCCCTCGTCCTCAGCAGGCAGCGGTATGATTGTTGTTCCTACATGTTTAAATTAAATTCACAATGCTCTGAGAAACTACATTAGCTTGTATTGTTCACACATAAAAACAATGCCAGTTCTGGTGTTAACCAGAAGTTGCGCCCATAATTCACACAAGGCACCATGGGGGCTAGGAATAAGGTGGATAGTTGTGCACAATCAAGATATTAAAACAAATTTATGACTCACCCTAAATCTGACATTAAAGTAAAGCTTAAAAAGGGTTGACACAGTGCATTTTAATTGTTATCCGAGGGCAGAGGTTGGTATTTGACCTTGGACATTTTGTTTTTGTAGACGAGCGCACCACAGATCATGCCAACAGCAGCCAGGAGACATCCAGCAATGAACGCCGTGTTCAGATTCAGGTTGACCACTGGAACCACACAAACACTGAATAAATTACTGTCCACATGTTAACTTGTGCTTCAAAACCTCACACTACACCTTATGTCATTACCTGAGACATCTCTGGCATCAGCCGACCGCTTCAGCCTCAGAGGACCCTGGGAAATGAAGTGCTTTCCACTCTGAATGAGAGCTTCTCTCTTCCAGCGGTTGCTGTGACCGCTGGACCAAGTGGAGTTTGTGCATCCCTGAGAGCACCTGGTGTTAGAGTTGCCTGCTTCACACATCATGACTGTGCAGCTGATGTACACCTGGATAAAAGACAGGAAGCTGCTGTCAAAATGCTTCTCTCTGTTTGAAAAAAGCAGGGACTTCAGCCAGAGGCTGTAAAATCCTCTAAATTTGGCCATTTTTAGAGTAAAATCAAAAACTCAGAAGACATTTTACATACTCTCTTAAAAAGCCCTCTGAGGTTCTTACTCAGTTTGTAGGTTACTTGTGAGTGATGATGAATTTGGTCGGTAACCTGACTGTCTGTCTGTTAGCAACATATCTCGTGAACCACAAGACAAATTTGAATGAATCTCTCATAAAGTAATCACTGGATGTACATCTCATTAACTTTAAGGGTCAACCCAATTCAAGATGTCTGCCACAGTGACATAATTTTAGTCAACATAAAAATTAAAATTCAATCATTTTTATAGATATTGATCTAAACATTGTGTGCCAGTAGCTGAGAGTCATTCACTTAAAGTGCTAGTCATTGCACAAGATCTTTACCTGAAGCTTTCCTCTTTTCTTTTCTTTCTTTTTTTATCTTTTTAATTTTTTTTCTTTTATCTTTTCTTTCCTCTTGGAGCCAACTCTGTCTGTTGGGAAAATATCTCATGAGCTACTGGATGGATTTAACTAAAACTATCAAAACGTAGACATTGAATGACCCAAACTGTTTATTGTAAGGGATACACAGTGGGCTAATGCTTCTTGGATACAGGCTGGAATTTGATCCCTGCTGCTCAGATGGCCCGGTACACGGGGTCTGATGCTCAGAGACCGAAAACTTCCTGTGACAGGTTTGACGCCACAGGTTTGTCCTGTGACTGTCACGTTTTCTGCCCCTTTCTGCCATGCCTTGTTAAACCCTCTGCTCCTGTCAGTGTTCACGTCTGCTTCTGTCAAACTGCTCCACGCCCACTCTGCCTCGTCACTGCAATCAGCGTTCATGCCGCTCACCTGTTTTCCCCAGTATTTAAGATCCACGTTCTCAACTACTCAGTGCGAGATTATTGAAATCCTTTGGGCAAGTAAATGTCAAGCGTTCAGTCCACAGTTTTGTTTGTCTGCCTGGTTTTGACCTCAAGCCTGTCTCACGGATTCCTCGCCTTGCTTCCTTCTCGTCTGTTCTGAATTATACTCTCTGTTTATGGTAACGACCTCTGCTTCCTCGACCATGCATTAAGGATTACGTTTTGGACCTGGCTCTGAACTTCTGATCTTCTGTGTATGAACCTCGCCCGTTTCTCTGGATCTTCCTGTCAGATTACCCTTAAATCTACGCTCTGCTTGACACTGCTTCTCTGCCTCCCAGTCTTCACTGCCAGTGATGTCATCAACCTCAACACCCTCAAGGAGAAATTAGGGAGAAATGTTTTTTGTGTGTGAGCAGAGAGAGACTGTGAAAGTTGAGCTAAATATTGCTTAAAGTTGAAAAGTAATGCTAAAGCGACTTCTAAAGACTGAAGGACCTATTTTCATGACAAGCAGCCAATGAGCCTAGGAGCTGCTAAAACCAGGCTCAGGAGCTGCTACAACTGGCCCAGGACTGATGCGACCAACATCAGCTTTATCTTCAACATAAACTGAAATGGCGAAAAGAAACGTGAAGCAAAAGGATCGGTCGAGGCCCGGGTTAACAACGACCGCCACCAGTGCTGTTGACAAACAGGGTGCTGGCGGAAATTGTGCTACTGTTAGTCGAAGACCACGAAGTGGGAAACGTGTCAGGAGACAGAGGGAGAAGAGGAATGTGAAGAATGTAGGACAGAGGGTTGCAACTCTAAATGTGAGGACAATGACAGGCAAAGGTAGAGAGCTGGCTGACATGATGCTGAGAAGAAAAGTAGACGTTTTATGAGTCCAAGAGACCAAGTCGAAGGGCAGCAAGGCTCGCAGCATTGGAGCAGTGCTCAAACTGTTTTACCATGGTGTAGATAGAAAGAAAAATGGAGTAGTGGTGGTCCTGAAGGAAGAGTTGGCAAAGAATGTAGTAGAGGTGAAAAGAGTGTCAGAACGGGTGATGTGTCTGAAGGTAGAAGTAGAAGGTCTGATGCTCAACATCGTCAGTGGTTATGCTCCACAGGTTGGATGTGATGAGGAGGAGAAAGATACATTTTGGAAAGATTTGGATGAAGTGATAGAGAGTATTCCCAGGGAGGAGAGAGTGGTGATCGGAGCAGACCTGAATAGACATGTTGGTGAAGGAAAGAGAGGATGAGGAAGTGATGGGTAGGTTTCGTGTCAAGGAAAGAAACCAGGGAGGACAGATGGTGGTGGATTTTGCCAAGAGAATGGAAATGGCTGTAGTCAACACCTATTTCCAAAAGAGGGAGGAGCAAAGAGTGACCTATAAGAGTGGAGGAAGGAGTACGCAGGTCGACTACATTCTGTGTAGAAGAGGAAACCTGAGGGAGATTGGAGACTGTAAGGTTGTGGCAGGGGAGAGCGTGGCCAGACAGCATCGGATGGTTGTGTGTAGAATGACTGTTGTTGTGAAGAAGAGAAAAAGAGTAAAATCAGAGAAGAAGACCAAATTGTAGAAGCTGAAGAAGGAAGAATGTTGTGAGAAATTCAGAGAGGAGCTGTTAAAGGCTCTGGATGGTAAGAAAGAGCTTCCAAATGACTGGACTACTACAGCAACAGTAATTAGAGAGACAGGTAGTAAGGTACTTGGTGTGTCATCTGGACAGAGAATGGATGATAAGGAAACCTGGTGGTGGAATAGTAAAGTGCAGGATGCCGTTCAAAGAAAGAGATTAGCCAAGAAGAAATATGACAGTGAGAGTACTGAAGAGAGGAGACAAGAATATAAGGAGATGGGACGTAGAGCAAAGAGGGAAGTAGCTAAGGCAAAGCAGAGGGCATATGATGAGTTGTATGGGAGACTAGACACTAAAGAGGACGAGAAGGACTTGTACCGATTGGCAAGACAGAGGGATCAGGCTGGAAAGGATGTGCAGCAGGTTAGGCTTATTAAAGATAGGAATGGTAATGTTCTAACAAGTGAGGAGTGTGTGACGGGAAGATGGAAGGAGTATTTGAGGAGCTAATGGATGAAGAGAATTAGGAGGATTAGCACTACAGTGGGTATCTAGATATTTGAATAATAGGAGACTGTTTGTACAGGTAAATGATGTAAAATCAGAATTTTGTGTTAATGGATGTGGAGTCCCTCAAGGCTCTGTGTTGGGACCAGAGTTGTTTATTTTGTATGCGAATGATCTGGTTGATGTGTCAGGGCTTTTGAAATGTGCTTTATTTGCAGATGATACCACTTTTTTTTTTTGTTTAGGTGAATATATCGAATGGATGTTACAGATGATACAGGCAGAATTTGTTCAAATACAGACTTGGTTCCAACTTAATTAGTTATTAAATTTTGAAAAAAAAAACATGATATTTAGTAATAGAAATAAAATTATAGAGGTCCCATTTAAAATTGACAGTACTGAAATTCAAAGAGTTAGTGAAATAAAATGGGTGTCGTTATTGATGAGAAGCTGACATGGAAATCTCATGTAAATTACTTAAGAATAAAAATATCAAAATCAATTGCATTACTGTATAAAGTAAAATAGTTTTTGAATGACAAAGCTTTATATATAGTGTACAATGTAGTGATTTTTCCATATTTAATCTATTGTACTGAAGTTTGGGGAAAAGCATGAAAAACAATTACAAATCCTATTTTTATTTACAAAAAAGAGCTATAAGAATTATTAGTAGGAAGTGCTATGGTCACCCAACAAATATATTTCATAAGTTGAAATAGTTAAAATTTTATGATTTGGTTGAATATAGTATTTTACAAGTCATGTATAAAGTTAATAAAAAATACTACCCCCAAATATTCAATTAAAATTTGTTAAACAAAAGAGTCATTACAAACTTAATGGAATGTAAATGTTTGTAAAACCTCCATTTAGAACTAGTCTGAAGGAGCTGCGTTGTAATTCAGGGAACAGGATTGTGGAATTGTCTTGATATCACCATAAAAATTTATAAAACAATTTATATGTTTAAAAAGATGATAGTTAAAATTGTTAGGAAAGTATGATATCATGTGAAGAATGCCTGATGTCATAAAGCAAGGTTTTAGGATTCAAACTCAGACAACAAGAATGGTAAAAACAAAGAAAAGTTTTATTGGTTGATTTGCAGCTGCTGGGGAGACAGGATCCATTTGCAGTAACAGGTCTTTGCGGCAGGTGGGGTGAGAGCCACCTGTCAGAGTTTAAAGAGATGAACTGGTGGGAAGGCAGCTGCAGAGGGAGGCCTTTAATGCCGTGAACAGTGGGGCAATGCAGGTTTGTGGTCCAAACTAGTGATGGTAGGATGAAACAAAAGCTTAAAAACATGCTTCGAACCCTGTAGTAAAATTACATCGGAGCACTGCTTCGGAGCCTGTTTTGATGCGGAAAAAGTCACGTGACACGTGACGTCCGAAACACAAACTGTTTTGTTGTCGGAATGAATCATTTGACTGGTTCGCGGTCCAAACAGCTGATTCCCTGGCACCGCCTCGTCTCGATTCTGATTGTTGACAGGTTGAGACAGTTTTGAATTGAGAGCGTTCAACACTATAAAACAGCTCTAAAATGTTTGCAATGTGTTGGAGAGTTGGTGTGTTTTTACTGTTGTGCTGATTTAGTGTAAACTGAGTAATTATGGAGCCAGCCAGGAAAACAGGTTGTTCTAATGTGTGGGTGCATTCTGCTTGCTCAGGATAAGGTGGTTTTGGCATTTAAATGTTTAAGTTATAGTAATGTTCAGAAGAGAAAATATTATCTAACCCATTTAACCCATGTATTTAATGTACAGTGCCTTGTGAAAGTATTCGGCCCCCTTGAACTTTTCACCCTTTTGCCACATTTCAGGCTTCAAACATAAAGATATAAAATTTATTTTTTTGTGAAGAATCAACAACAAGTGGGACACAATCGTGAAGTGGAATGAAATTTATTGGATGTGTCAAACTTTATTAACAAATAAAAAACTGAAAAGTGGGGCGTGCAATATTATTGGGCCCCTT